AGCTTCAGTACTTGTTGAGGATGGTCTGCTGAGCAGAATACGCTTCAGATGGCAGATTATTTAATGCTGTGGTCCCCAGACTCTGGAACTCTCTCCCCCTGAGCCTGACATCAGTGGACTCAGTGGACTCCTTTAAACAGCAGCTGAAAACTCACCTGTTCAAGCTGGTTTTGTTGTGACCTTCATCACCCTCTCCTTGTTCTGCTCTCCCCACCTATTCCACCTTCCTCAGGATCCACTGATTTCCCTCTTTCCTATTCACTCTCTCTCTTTCGTTACATTTTTTAATCACAATTGTCTAATTTTTGCTCATTTTTAATATATTTTAATCATTTTCTAAATTATTTTTGATATTTTACATTTTTTGTTTTTGTGAAGCGCCTCGTGATTTTTATCTTGAGATGAGATCTTTTCTTCTTTCTTCTTCTGGGACACAGACAGCAGCAGCAGCTCTGTTACTTTTAACTTTTGAGAGACTGGCAGAAATGAGCATTTTGAGCAGTTTTCATCTAGTCTCGGCTCGTTGACGACTCGCTTTGTTCTAAGCCTGATTCATGCTTCTCCGTCAGCTCCAAAAGGGAGAGACACACACTCACAGACGGAGACATTTTGCCCTCATACTTCTCCGTCTCCTGGAGAGTGTTGCAAAGCAATTCCCCCCCAAGACAACAGAGGGCGTAGCGCTGTTCTGTGGTAACCTGTCATGTATCCGGTCCAAGATAGTGTGTTTATATTGTGGTTTTTATAAATAAGAGACTTTTTAACATGGACAAATTTGTTTCTCATCCTCCTCCACCTCTTCATGGGCTCGCCACCTCTAAACCCCCGTATCCTGCCATTTCCGTCGACTAATAAAACGCTTGCTGCGCATCTTTTCACTCCTCCAGTCACGGGGGAATTAAACGTTCATATTTTAGAGTTTTTTTGCAAGGTATTCTTCAAGCTTCTCCGTGTCTGCCGCTAGTTATTCTCGGCTCTCTTTATGTTTTTGAGGGCGCAATGGTGGCGGTGTAGACGACAGCCGCGTCCTGACCAACCACAAGCTTGCGTTCTCCGTCTCGACGGACGGATGTTTAGAAAAGAGAGCTCGACTCCGTCTGTCCTTGCGGGGGCTCTACAGCAGGCCCACAAGGACGGATAATGGCGTTGCGTGTCATTGACGCAGACGCAGAAGCATGAATCAGGCTTAAGTCACCATAGAGCTATTTTTGGCTCGTCAGCATGTCGTTTCCGTTATGAAAAAAAGGGACGTCAACGAAATTAATTCGTCATCGTTTTTGTTAAAGAAAACAACACTGATGTGGTGATGTGCAGAAAAAACATCAATGTTACAAAGCAAACAGAGTCAGTGATAGAGTCGCCTTGCTGTTAACCAATCAGAGTTACCCTGAGTACAGCTTACAAGTGTCAGCCTTGTACTGCTTCAAAAATGGCTGCAATCAGAAACGTTGCCTCACTGGGTCTTTTTCAGACAGAATGTAAGACACAATGTTGCTTTAGGAGGAAAACAGCAAAAAGCTGGAAAGCCCCTCTGCTGCTTACACTCAGGCTACAAAAATGCATTAGGATTTAGTGTGCTAGCTAATATAGCCTAGCATGGATCGGGCTTTGCTTCCTGATAAGCTGCTCCAAGCCAAGAAAATGCAATTCATGCACATAGAGGGGAATGTGCAGAGGGATGGTCCAAGGGCAGTTGGATGGATGGATCCTGATCCAATCATTTGGAATGGGACGTTCTAAATGATTGTGTTGCAGCCCCGGGGGTAAACCTGTGCACCTCCCTGCCCATCTTACCTTATAGCTGCTGTTCAGCTCTGCTGTTTTGCAGTAATTTTTCCTACCAGGTTCAGCTCCATGCTGTGAAGCCTGCGGAAGGCTCCACCCAGCTGCTCCCCATCCAGCTAATCAGCCGCAGCTGCTACTTAAGGAGCTGCTGCACTCTCATTGCTGTTTTTACAGGACCAAAGCGTTTGCAAAACGGGATTTGCCGCGGCTCCCTGGGGAGGATTTTGGCATTTATAGTAGCAAAGCTGAAGTTAGAATAAACTGCCATCAGGCACCTCTCAAACCAAGACGGGATAAAGGGAGGTCGCTGGGCGCCCCCCCCCCCCCAACCCCCCCCGCATGTGACGTACAGGGTCACGCATTTAGCGTCAGATGGAAGACACGTCAGACTGATGAATTTTCTTTTTCAGGACCTTTAGCCATGATGTGACCTGCTTTTTGTCCCGCTTGATGCCCCGCTCAGCCAGTGTTTTCACCACTCTGTCGAACAGCTGGCTGTCTCTCACTGTCCCCGTAAAAAGGCGACTAATCTGTTCATCCACTCGCATGGGCAAGAACTCCATGGTCTCCGTGCCTGTCCAGTTTGCCATGTTGTAGGTGGCTGAAAGATACTAGTGAGAGGCCATGTTTATGTGTTTATATCCCTTCCGGCCGGCACTCGCTGTGCAGTATACGTCACTAATGCGACCACCCTCTTTTGCGGGGGGGGGCACAGTTGCTCCAAAGGGATTAGCGGGGCTGACATGTCTTTAGCTGTCAGAGGCGAGGGGCTCATGCGGCAATATTACTACGAGGCTAAACGCATTAGAATCGAGTTTGATCACCTTTCCCCTTTGCTCCTTGCCGCATTTACGAGGCCCACAAATTCTGATTTATCACTCTGTAATGACGCGATGGTCTGTCTTATGAAAGAGGCTATTCAAAAAGGGGGTGAAAGACAGAGGAGGTGGTAGAGAGAGTAGGAGAAGAGGATGTAGAGGAATTGGTTCAGTGAAAAGGAGGAGTTGGTTGAGAGCTCAGGGATTGGATGAGTCCCCTTTTGAGTATTTGGAGAGTTTAGTAAACTTAGCTGTTTTTGCTGAGTCTCTTCGGCATTTTAGGGGACTTACTTAAAATAGTAGCCTTCATTTTTTCTCTTTGGCAAAACTTGAGAATTTGATTAATTTGCTCTTGACCTTTGAGCGCTTGATATCGTTAAGTTAGAAGCCGATAGTGAGGCCTTTGTTGTTTGTACTTCTTTTCAGACAGAGAGCGTTGTCTTTTGGTTGTATAAGTAGTACTACCCGTTAGCTCTATTTTGAGAAGCGTTTCCTTTGGTAGTTGTGTTTTATAGTTGTTTACTCATTTTAGAAAAGAGTCACCTTCAGTTAGGCCCTTTTGGTTGAAGGCCTTTGTTGAGCTTCTCTGTAATTCTCAGAGATAGTAAGATGGCACTGGAGCGGGTGCACGCTGTGAGCTGCTCGTCCTCTTTATGCACTGGTACCTTCCTTTTTACTGGTTTTTATTGGCGTTTTATTGGCTTTTATGCATTTTTGTTGTCCCTGATGCTTTTTTTGAATGGTGTGGATCCTCTGCTGACATACGATCGAGCTGCGCTGCTGAGGCTTCGTCCTTCCGTTGATGTAGAGGGCTGCGCGCGCTGGGAACCGGGCTGCGCGAGCTGGGAACCTCACGGATGGCGCTGCTGTTTGGACTGCCTGTTTGCTCTCTCCCCCCAAGCCGTGATGTGTCGGCCCTCTGCCCGCCCCAGCTCGAGAAGGAAGCATCGGAGAAGACGGGGAAAGAGAGGTAGCCGGCGCGTGAGACGTTGGCCTGGATCCCTGAAGAAGCGGCTGGCCCGATTATTTTTTTCAGCGCCTTGGGCTTCCTGACAGGGTTGCGGAAGGTGCTTTATAAATTAAGCTTTGATTGATTGATTGATTGAATAGGGCTTCCTCTCCTAGTTTGTGACCCCTGTCTTGGTACTTTTAAGTTTTTGTAGAAGAAAGCTAAGTCCAATTAGGACATTTGTGTAAACATTTTTGGGTTGTGGTATAGTTACCCCAGTGGCACTCCAAAACCATACAATTAGCAAACCCCAGCCATTGTTAACATCACAGAAGAGTCTAGATATTGAACATCCCTCTCAGAACCTCCTAGACTCCAGAGGGGGATGTAACAGATTGGATGAGGTTTTACCAGGCTTCTACCTTTCAGAGGCAATAACTACTATTCCTTTTTTCAGACAAAACATTAAATCTATTGTTAGCCAAAGGAATATGAAGAGCATTTCAAACAATACGGCTAACACGTCAAACTATTAAGTCTAAAGTTGTTTTTGTCTTCATCTTAGAACCTCATTCCTAATTCCTCATGATGATTTAACGAGGACCTCTGATCAGATTTCAAATCGCTACAGCGAAATGAAAACACAAGACACCAGTGATTACATCTAACTCATCTCACACATTTCATAAAAAAGGAGTAATCTCACTCAGTGTGAAGCGACGGTGACCTAATGCTGCCTCATTCTAATTGGTGTCTACTTTTACACACACATGTATACATACACACACACACACACACACACAACAATGCTGTGTACAGTGTGTTTCTGGTGGTGCTGATAACCAACATGTGTTATTTATTTTTATTTTTTGAAACAGTAATCTGTCACACATGTGGTGTGTGTGTCACTGCTGGATAAACCCACTACACAACTCTGGTAGGAAGCATGATCATTCAGCAGACTTCCTGCCCCTGAGGGCTATCGGGACACACGCGTGCACGCACACACACACATATATATACACACACACACACACACACACACACACACACACACACACACACACACACACACACACACACACACACACACACACACACACACACACCCTTTATAGCAACGGTGACTCAACATCTTACTAGTTAACCATAAAAACACACAAACCAGCAGCATTAAAGCAAAACCCGTGAAGTTTGAGAGTTACATCGTAACCAGAACCGTGGCGAGCGAAGCACCTGTTGTGATCCAGGCTGGCAGAACTCATCTCTGGACCACACCCAGTGTGTCGTGACTCATCCCACCCCCACCCCTTCCACTTATCCATGAGATCAGGCAGCGATAGGAAGAGAGATAGGAACAGAGGGAGATTGTGAAGGCGAGAACTAATTATGATTACGACACACAAGGAGGGCGATTCAGTGAGAAGTGCGCCGTGGGTGGGACTTACCAGCTCGACCGACCCATAGTGTTTCCTGCTGAAGTCTCCACGCCTGCAGCCCAGGTCCTCTGAGGCAGAGCTGCAAACAAAAACACATGGTCAGACAAATGGCCTTAATGCCCAAAATCACAACACATACACGCTGCACGGACACAAATGGACTACACTCATACAGAAGTTGCAGCTGAAGCATCCGAGTCTCTCTTTATCTCACTTGTTGCACCCTGGTTACTCGTTCATGCTAACGATGCTTCTCTCTCTACGTTCTTTCTCTTTGCCTGCTTCCTGTGTGTGTCTTTGTTGGTGTGTTGAGGCTGCTGGTGGCATGGCGACTGGCCGGGGGAGCAGCAGCCAGCCCAGTTCTGATTGGGATGTCAGTCCTGATTGAATTAGATTTTAGTGATAGATGTAGAGCTGCTGGGAGAGCAGACCGTTGGGTAAAAAGCAGTCAAATTCACCTTGTTATCCGCTGCAAATCAGAAATCTACAAAACATCAAAAAGAGATTTTACTTCCCCAGTGACACGGTTTTGATAACTTGTACAAAAAATAAACATCATGATGTCATCTATGGCACCGCTGTCTTTCTTAAACTATTTAAAGACATTTGCAAACTTTAGAAAAGTTTCCATCCATTGGACAAGTAGGAAAAACACTAATGTGCTTTCTGCTCCACATTTCAAAGACGCATGAAAATTGTATGAAGCTTCTAATTTGACACTCCGATTCATTCTCCTGAATATTTCAGCTGAGCCCTCTTGATCTTTGACAGCAAATTAATAAAAAAAACAGATTCAAGTAATTGATGTCCACTATATAAAACAGTCATGTGCACACAAGGACCAGGTCACCGTGACTCAACAAAAACCTCGTCAGCAGTTCTCTGATGCAAAGGTTTAAATTGAGATTCTACATGAGGTCAAAGGTCATCAACAACTAATAATGAGCACATTTATTTCAGTAAATCTGCCAAATACTAACAGAAATGCCTCTCTGTTGGGTAATCATGCACCAATAAAACCGACAGAAAAGTTATTACACCAAACTATAGAAGCGTATTATTGTCAGTGCACGGCAAAGAAGAAAGGGTTTCTCATTTTACAAGATGATAGAATACGCTACGACAAGAAAGTTTCTCGTAAAAACGTAACAATGAGATAAAAGTCAGTCAGTCGTGGCAGATGGCTATTTATAACGAGCTCCCTTCCAGTCGAGAGTGTTTCAGATGGGAGCGAAGCCATTCAATGCAATTTGTCCCGTGAGGTCATAAAATCACAAGAGAATTGCAACACCACGTGTGATTTCAGAAGTTTACACAGTAACAAGCAAGGAGAAAGACAGCAGCATGGATCCAGAAAGGTCTGTGGCTCATTGTCTGTTTTGTTTACCTCAGCTATGGAGGTTTCACAGGAAATGACGTTTGTTTTTTTTACTAGTTAAGCAACTGGAAATCGGCACGTGACTTTTATTTTGAACGTTCCTTAATGCTTTACAATGCTTTTGAGTTTGACTTCCTGTCCGGCCCGACCTGAACCGCGGAGTTTGACGTGTCCTGGAAGCGTAGCGCGTAAAAAATGTACTCGAAAGTAGAGATGTGTATTGGTGAAATTCTGGCAACACGATACGTATCATGGTACCGGGGAGACGATACAATTTATCATGATATATTGCGATTCATTCAGCCAGACGATTTTAGCGTATTGTTTTTAGACAACATTTATTGTAGGAAAATTCAATAAACAGCCCAAACTGATACGTAACATGTTTAACATGACGTATTTGAACCATGACAGAGAGATTTACATTTCGATGATGGAAACAAAACCCATTGCACACTGCTGTCATCTAGTGGTCGGCGTTTGAATTGCACCAAAAGAAACGAAAATCTTTCTATAGAAATTCTTCCCAAAGTTAGATAAACAGCTTTTTAATATCAATATAATATTGCAGAAAAATATATCACAATATATTGCCAAATCGATATTTTCAGACATCCATACTTGAAAGTTAAGCCACATGTCCTTGTGCTGTATTGTGTCTGGTGGAAAGGAGGAGTGAGCCAGCTTCTTCTGGAGGTTTCTTCCTGTTAAAGGGGGGTTTTCCTCTCCACTGTTACTACATGTTCTTAGTAGGAGGGATTACTGTCAAGTCTCTGACACAACGAGTCAGTGACTCAACGTAATCTGCTGGAAAACTTACCTAATTGGAATTATGAACTGAACTCAACACACTGATAAGTAGGTTCAATTGAAATGTTTACTTTGTGTAGTGCTTTAAAACGGCTTGAAGTGAATTGGCACTATATAAATAAACTGAATTGAATTGAGATAGCTTGTAATGGTGGAAAAAGCTAAATCCCACAGGATGTTTGAGTCTCAGTCAGAAAAAACAGAGGGAGAAGATGAAGGCTGTAATTTGTCAAGAGAAACATGTTATTCCATACTTCAGTCAACCAAACGGACAAACCAGTCCTCATGAGTATGTTTAGGCCAAATTTGCGATACAGTGATCCCTCGCTACTTCGCGGTTCATTTATGGCGGATTCACGACTTCGCGGATTTTTTCTTTGGAGCCTTATTCAAGGGAAATTCGCCGATTCGCGGAATTTTTCACCGATTCGCGGTATTTTTCTGTCATGTTTTGGGGTAAGTGTCTAACCCAAGACATACAGAATCAGACTCGAGTCGAGGTAAAAGATAAATAATTTTATTTCTTTAATGATGAGGAGAACTGAGGGCGCACTGGTGATCCAGCGGAGGGTAAACCAGGAAGCGGCAAAATGCGGAAGTTCAGGGTGAATGTGGAGTTGAGCCGGGGTGATATCCAGAGGCAAATTGTAGATTTCCAGGCGGCAGAGTAGACGGATGAGGAGGACGAGGTAACGGAGAGGGAGTGTGAGCACGGTGGAGAGCGGGACGGCAGAGCGGAGTTGGTATCCAGGCAGCGAACCGGTGAGTATCCAGAAGTCTCCAAGATGGGAGCGAATCCGGAGGAGAAGCGAGTCAGGCAGTAGTTAATCATCCGGCGTGGTATCTGGATAACCGTCCTCCTTTTAAAGCCGTCCCGCTAATCAGGCTGATGAGGATCAGCTGCGCTCCTTCTCCTGTTAAATAAATACTGTAAATATGGTGTCCCTACTTCGCAGATTTTCACCTATCGCGGCCAGGTCTTGAACGCATCTACCGCGATAAACGAGGGATCACTGTACTTCTGATTTCTACCTGAGGGGCAGCTGTCAATGATAACATTCTCTTCTGGTTTGTGCTTTTCACATTAATGAAAGAGTATATTTTATAAAGATGTCCCAGTATTAAATAATGATAAATGACCTGCACTTGTGTAGCACCTTTATGAGTCATAGCACTCCAAAGCACTTCATTCATCCATTCACACTCGTATAGTGATGGGCTACCAGCCGTCCTGGGGCACACTGATAGAGGAAATGCTGGCGAGCACAGACGCCACTAGTGACCATCACCAGCAGCAGGTAAAGTGCCTTGCCCAAGTACACACCAGCTGACATGACGGAGGTACCTGGGTTTGAACCTGCAAACCAACGAGTACAGGGTAAACGCCTAACCTGTGCCTCTGTTACAGAGTTGAATGTCATTATATTCGTTCTCTGTGTGGGAAATGTTTGGATGTTTCTGGTGTTACGCGTCTGTTACACGTAAACACAACTTGTCTCTCGGTAAAAAGCAGTCTGTTGCCTTGGCAACGGGGTGTGTGGAGGAGTTAGTGGAGAGAGTTAGCAAGTGTTTTTGTTGAGTAAAGCACCCATTGACTTCCCCATGTTCCGTTGTGACACTGCGTCTGTAATTCTTAAAAATTAAACATCGAGATCTGGAATAACTGCCTTGTTTGTTTCGAGTAGAACGCCACAACATGCATCTCCATTTTTCTGTTAAGATCTTTCTCATTACTATGAGATACTAACTACGTTATTACAGACATGTTCTCATTAAAACAAATTTATGTTAGTGTTTTTCCTTTAAATGAGATGTTTATCAGGTCATAATGAGAAACACTCTCCTTATGATGAGATACTGCTGCTTTATCTTTTTTCCATGAGCTGATGAAAACATACTTCTGTACCAAATAACAGGCATTGTCTATAATGCAAATCATTTATGTAAACCTGCAGAACAACTCTTCTGCATTTCAGATCCAGACCAGACTTCGACACGGACTGAAAGGCTCATGCATCGCTCTATTTTCATCCATTTCAATCATATTACGGCTAAAATTAAAAACCAATCTATTAAGCTATCTGACCCAGTGCTCTTGAAGCTTACATAAACCAACCACATATTTATTTAAATATGAAATGTTTATTTGATTAATGACACGCATGAATGATTAAACTAAAGCTAGAAAGCACAGTACAAACCCACAGACTTGAGTTCACACATGTAGTGAACGTACAAAGTTATTCTGCCACATAAAGCTCACACCAGGAAAGCAGGAAAATGATGAAGGTTGTGCCTCCAGACTGTTAAGCTCTCCAATAACCTCTGATTTTGGCAAGTGCTTTTGAACAGTTAGGTTTGACACGACTGCAAAAAAATATAAAAATAAATAAAATTGAACTGCTACAGATTTAGGAAGACAGCGGATAAAGGTATGGGTTGACCGTAGGGGATGCTAGGGCACCACCCCACCCGTAGGGGGTGCTAGGGCACCACCCCACCAGTCTCACAGGAAGAAGAAGAAGAAGATAGGAATCACAAAATATAGACAAATAACAAGAACATTAAACTAAATGATCTATACATCATCCAGACTATAAGTGCTTTGTTTCACGTGTATTTAAGTGCAGTTTAAAAATCATGTCTCACTTTTACCACGACCAAATCGTCTGGTGACGTATTTCCTTTCAGGCGCAGCAATCTTTACCATAGACCTCCGCACATGCACGCTGGATCCCCCTCCAATACAATCAGATCACAGAGGTTTGTTATCGAATTATGCGCAGAAGACCGGAGTCTGAGATCAGGATGTTCACCTGGAACCATGAGCCAATAGAATCGCTTGATGAGTTATTTGGGCTGGTTTTTGTATTAGCCAATCACAGGAAGAG